TCCCCCCCCCCCCCCCCCTCTTACTGTCTCTAGCACTCAGCCGAGTCAGCAGCATGGCAGGCCATTGAGTCACTCTCGCGCCAATCGAATCGCGTGATTGACGAGGCCTACGGTCTGGTGAATCGAGCCTTCTTGAAACTGCGCATCGCCGAGCAGACGTGCTTCGCGGACCCGGAGGAGTTGGCGCGCAAGATCGGCCGAATTCAGTCTGCTCTGAAGGCCAAATCACCGCTGTTTTCGGCCTACGAGGAATTGGTGCTAACGGTGAAACTCCCCACACCACATGCCCACCTACAGTGCATCATCGTGGACGCCCTGAGGGCCTACTTTGAGAACTACACAAACGTGAGTTCGCCGCTTGCTTCACGAGGCTCAATTTGAGGTGCTCTACCTGAAGCAGTATGACTTGCCTACTTCGTGTTTTTGCACAATCGCGTTAAGTGTGGCTTCTTCGCTAGTTTTTTCAAAGTGATATAACCGTAACCCTCTCAACCACCGATTGAAGCTAGTCTCTATCGGCAGCCATTACATCACCCCAATCTGCCTGGTTCTCCACACTGAATGAAATTTGTAAAAAAATAATTGAGCGCCCTTTCTGAGTTGAAATGGTTGAAACAATGGTCCAACCTAGGTGAGCATTCATGACACATAGTTATGTTGTCGCTTGCTTCCGATTCTGAAAAAAATACCAACTTAAATTAGTAAAATGTGTTCATGAATTTAAATACGTTATTCAATCACGTGAAATCGTGACTTACAAGGGGATGATCACCTTGTATTTATGATTTTTGGAAAGGTAGACGGTGGATTTCTCCAGGTATGCATTGAGTTCTGAGAAATTCGGTGGCAAATTTTAACCGTTGGCTTATATGCCAGCGAGTGAGTGATCACAGCGCTGTAGACCCGTGTTCGAGTCCCACCGTTGCCTCTTTGTATCCACTTTCACGCGTACTTATCCCTTTGTTCTAAATATCATTAACAAACACGGCGGGAACGACGTTTGAATACTGTGTTTGGTGGAAATTTTTAGTTGTCATGCATTACTTATGGGGGTTCTTCGATTACTGAGGACAACAGACTTGTAGCTGGTAAATATCGTACAAACGCATAATGCGCATTTCACTAAACCGGCTGCTTTGAAAGGATTATCGAGTAGCACCGATGGTTTACATTTTAAACTGTTGCTATTTCATCGATTGATTTTGATGCGATCCCCGAAATGCAGGCGCCCCCAGACCCGTCCAGAGCGCGTCCCTCTTCAAGATAAAATCCGTCTGCAACAAGGTTGATGGTCCCTCTATCAATTTACCCTGTAAACCTGACCTACTGACTCGCAAAAGTCTTATCCTTCCCTTGACAATGATGTTACTTTACCGTACGAATAGCTGATATTGCAGTAATTGGTGGCTCGCGTACTTCCTTACGCCTGTCTGTTGAAACCCTGTCACCTTGTTGCCAAGGCAACATCTCTCTTCGACATTAGCTTTACCAGCTGTGCCAGTAATTGGTGATTGACTTCCTTACACCTGAGTCTTGTTTTCTTTTCACATGTTAATCTACCAGTGGCACGCGATCAACTCACGTCTGGACCTCGTGCTGATGCGGCACAAGGCCTTCCTCGACAGCAAGGTCTGGGCTGCGGTGTACTCGCGTGGCTTCATCAACTGGCTGCGCCTGCGTGCCCGCTGCTCCACCGGCGCGCCACCAGAGGCGGTCGCCACTGAGCCCTCCGCCACACCCCCCGTCTCCCCGTTGTTCGCCTCGATCAGCGTCAGGATGCACGGCCGCACTCTCGTCAAGTTCATGCTTACCCAGTGCGAGCAGAAGCTAGAGCAGTGCGGCGACAAGGAGAACCTCCGTCCGCGTGGTGATGGCGGCGAGACGACGCATTCGACCGTCTGGGCCGACAAACACCTCCCTGGTGAGGTGTTCTTTGTGATGAATGCTAGTTTGCAATTCTCGGTTCAAAAGTTCATGCAGTGTAGATTGACGTCGTCGGATTGGTATCCTCTGTGGCGCCAGTTCCCCTGGCTAGGTGTTGTTGAAGGCCACGGCGTGTTGTCTCAAACCACAGCCAAGATCAGAAGATGAGCAAGTTGTGGCTGTCGGGCCATTGCGCATAAAAACTGGTATCTGACTAAACGGGGTTTTCGATCAGTACAGCCTGGTTAAATCTGTATAAGTACAAACGAGTAGCGTTAGGGTGATACAGGCACAGACGGTTCCCCTTAATCGATTGAGACGCCGTGAAAAGGAGGTCAATGTGGCGGAGAATGCAACGACCGGAGTCGAATCACCGTGCCCTTATTATTTCAACTCGGTTTATAAACACAAAAAAACCGTTAAATTGCTTTCTGTGCAATTTGGTCACCTCGTTTGTCAAAGTTTAATTTTGCATTTTGCCAAAATTTAACCAATTTTCTTTGAATTGTAACCCACCAATCATGAAAGAGATCTGGTAGAACGTGATTGGCCAAGGTGGGAGCAATTCCGCGGTTTCTTTACTTTATAAATTTTTGTCTCTTTTGCTGCTTGGAAAAAAATACGTGTGTAAGGGCCTAATAAGCGCCAGTTTTTGCAAGTGGTTATCAGTAGTTGACGGTCATCTGGTTTGTCAACTCCCACTAGATGCGGATCTGGTGAACCTCTGGCTGGCCACCCGGCTCCTCCTGAACGGCACCTTCATTGTGTCGGAGCTGTACACCCTCTTAGGCACGGTGAAGGAAGCCCGCGTTTACCAGCTCGAGCTGCTTCGGATTGCCCAGCGCTTCCACATCCCCTCGTGGTACGTACAGCCCCTCTAATTTCGATTACCTCGTTCGGCGTCCACTCAACACGCCAATTCTCTTGTCTCACAGTGCGCAGGCGGCAATTTGCATGATGGCCTACACCGACCTCCACTGTCAGCGCAAATGGGCGTTCGATCTACGCCTCACCCAGCTCAACCACATCCTTCACTCGAAGGTTCCACTGCAGGAGATCATCAGGTACCGTGACAAGGCCCACAGCGACAACAAGGCCTCGCTGGAGACCGCTGAAGAGTCTGAATTCATCAAAGAGCAAAAACCTCGCGGTAGACGCCACCTCGGTGACGAAGATGCTGATGGCGATGAGGAGGATGACGGCAACTACAGCGGAATGGCGACAAACCCAGTGGTCAGCGCCGCGGCCGGTGGTGTGGCCGGGCTGTTCCCCACGTCTCCAGTGAAGACCAACGTCACAATGACCTCCCACAATGGCTTTCCTTCCATAGAGGCGATGGTGAGTGTTATTTCAGGCAGGGGAAACAACGCCATCAATGCACAAGAGGGCTTCTTCACACCGAACTCTTGCGCCCACCGAATCCTCAACGGGTGTTTGTGGGCCTGGCTTGTGGAGATGGCAGACCTCGTGAGGACTAAGGTGATGGGTCAGGACCACTACCTGTCCGCCCTCGTTCCACCCTCCCCCGCCGATCAGGTAAAACCGTGCTCTTGTCTTGTCTTGTCAGTGAAGAAAAGCGCCGATGTAAAAACCCACAAATCTCTAGGCACCGGACTCGCCGGAGAACCTGTCGACCGCCGTAGAACGCAAATGCACGCTGACGCCCAGGGTCAATCCCTCAACGAAAGCGGGCCGCGCTGCTACCAAAATGGCCCAGCTCGCTCCCGCGTCCCCGCCCACAGACCGACGGGTCGCCGCTTCTGAGTTCCGCGTTCCGCCGAACGCTCCACGCAGACCGGTGAGCGGTTGGGCGAATGACGAAGTACTCCCCAGGCGAAGCAGACGACGTGCTGTCGTGGAACGCGACACTTCGGCTCCAGTGGATGCTCGAAAAGGCGAGTTTTTGTGCTGAATGTGGTTGCGTGGTCGTGGGAATCCTCTTTAATGGATTTATTGACTGCTTTGATGTCCTCAAGTGTAGCTAGTTGTCAGCAAAACTTGGCTAAATGACACATACTTTTCCAGAATGTCGTACTTTGACATCACAAGACCACGACAACGGTTGCAGTGTTTGACGCGTCCCCTCTCAACCCCTTTTCATTTCGACGTGTAGTTTCGACGGCGTCATCAGGCCTCAAGGTCACATGTGGTGGCAAGAAGTCCACCCAATCGAGGTCCGGCTACCAGTCAAACGACGAAGTCGACAGAATTGGCAGCCTTGCTAGATCAGTCTCTGCCACAAACTCCCTGTTCGGTTACGTCGGACCCTCTGCCTCCGGTTATACCTTCGGTCTGGAGGGTAGGGCTCCTCTTCAGATTCACCACGACGCAGATGTAAGCTGGGTTTGAGTGTCAGACGTAGAAGTACCTTTAATCAGACGTGTTTCCAACCAGTTCCCTTTTAATTCCTGCTCGCAGCCACCTACTATGCCTCCACCACCAAGACTGCGTCTCTTCAAGGATCCAGAACCACCGAAAATGCGTCAGCGTCAGCCTAAAGTGTCCGCAAATAACCACGAGGACAGTGGTGATGAGGAGGAGGTTGAGGCGGATGAAGAAGCGGAAGACGCAACCGAGTCCTGTCCGGCAGCCCAACGCCGAGCCTTCCGTCCACGCAACGTCCGAATGGCCCATAAATGGGCCAGCCAACACCGCTCGCACGTCTCCCCTTCACACCTACCCCCTCTGTGCCCCTCTGAGGAGGTGCTCAAGGCCCAGGATGCTCTCGCTGATCGTCTCTACTCGGTTTACTCCTCCCTCGCGGGCCTGCCCATCCCCCACCTCCTGCGTCCGGTCTGTCAGTGGTTGGGTCTGCGCTGGCTGGGACGCGGCAGCCACGACCAAGCAGCCCGTTTCTTCGGTCAGGCAGTTGGTCTCGCCGCCTCCAGCCTCTACTCCTCAATCCTGTCGTCAAAACTCAAGTGTGTGTCTGACCTCACTCCATGCGGCAAATTTTGCGCTGTAGTTGTTTTTTTTTCTGGTATCACTTGTTCCCATTTCAGAGATGACGTCACCCCGAAGGTCCTCCTTTCCGTGTACTCCGTGGCAGCTCCGAACGACTCCAGCAAGTACCTCGCCGACGTCGCCACCGACTTCTCCGTCACGATTATTCAATTAATGCTGGTCGATGAGCTCGGCCAGCTTCGTCGTCCTGACGCGCCTACCGATGACTCCGCGCGCCCCTCGCATGACCTCGTGGCCGGTGGTCTCGGCGCGAGACGCCAGGTGTACCTCATCGCCACGCGTTGGGTTATTGGCGGACCGGCGGCGGGATTTCACTCCCGTGTCATCCACAACTTCTCCTACAGCGTAAGAAAGCGCAAATACGTTTCTCTGCTCATACTCTCGGAAGGCGATGTCGATGACGCGTAGACGGTTGTCATGGACGCTGCCAGAAGCGTGAAGTAGCTGTAACTTTATTTGCTGATATCGGGTCAAAACGATGTTAGCTTCTGGTTTGTGAATCATGGGTGTAGTTGCAAACGAAGACTGGAATTTCTGTTCTGTTTTTGTTAACGACTCTTGCTCTGTTATCAGGGTCTCGACTACCTGGAGGCATTCGATGAAATCCAAACCGCCAACGCCGACTCGATGCAGGAGGAGGACCGGCGTCGATTTTGGTCCCTTCGATTCTCCCTCGACCACCGATTAAAGGTGTGCTGGAATCAACCCAATTTTCTGCCTTTTGTGTTTTTTTTAAACGTACTTCGCCGCATTTGCATCACTTTCCACTTCATCTCTTGTGTTTATCGATTAATTGCCGGGTCTGTGGGTCTAATTGGGCACCCAAGTTTCTCTAACTCTGCTGACTTATGGGTGCGATGAGTTCAAAGTTGCTGTGCCCGTGGATTGTCTCCGAATGCCATCGTTTCACCAAAGATTTCGCACCTTGATTCCCTCGAGGTCACTTATTTGCTCAGCTGAGACGATAGAAATGGTTTCTCTTTTATAGACCCTAGTTAAAGAAATGCGCACTAACTGGTTCACTGAAGACGACATTAACTGGATTCAGGGACAAGACATTCCAAAAGCATCTTCGGAGTTGGAGCGGCCAACTATCTTGGTGCTCGACAGGGTAGGTTTTCAGTTATTAAACGTGTTGGATCAGACATCTCGCGTTTGCCCTTATCCCGGTCGTTGTGTTCGCAGCGCCTCGCTTATTTACCCTGGGAGTGGTTGATTTGGGGTCAATCGGAGGACGAAGCTGCCACCACCTCCACAGTCCCCTCGGTGTGCCGGAGTTTCTCGCTCAGTCTCGTGATTGGCCAGCTCACATACGCCGCCTCCTGTACCAAAGAATTTGACCCTCGCTCGGCCTTCTACGTGCTCAACCCCGAAGCCAATCTCGAGCACACTGAAAAGACCTTTAGGGATTACATCCAACAAAACTTCCCCACGTGGAACGGAGTCATTGGTCAAATGCCCCCGGCCAGAGACGTCGTCAGTGGCTTCACGCAGCACGACCTCTTCGTGTACCTGGGTCACGGCAACGGATCGAAATACCTGATGTCGACATTCGACGAAGGTCTGAACGCTAAAGCCGTTGCCCTAATCATCGGTTGCAGTTCAGGTCGACCGAGGTTGGAAGGAAGACATGAGGCCTACGCGTCGATATTCAACCACCTGATCGCCGGATCGTGAGTGCAACCTTGCGTTCCTAATACCTCCCCTTGCAATTCTACTGAGTACTGATTGGCGCGTCCTAATAGGCGTAAATACATTGCCAACAAAGTCCACGCTGCTAGGTGTCCATGTTCTGTATCTTGCTGTTTGTAACTTAATTGACACCTTTGTGTTCTCGTCGATTTGATAACCGATGTCCCCTCATATCGCCTTCCCTTGATTTATCTTTTTAGCCCGACTGCTGTTTCGTTGCTGTGGGATGTTACTGATCGGGATATCGATCGCTTCACGCAGAGTTTCCTCTCCCGGTGGCTAGTGGAGTCAAAGGATAACGATCCAGCATCCTTGTGCCTCACTGGGCAGATCTTCAGGGCCACCAGTGCCTGCAAGTTGCCAAGCTTGGTGGGCAAATCTGTCGTTGTCTATGGCCTACCGGCTATTCCCTGTCGTCGGTAGTAATTGATAACAGATCAGCGCACGCCTAATGCACATATACTGCCCACTTTTCCTACTGTTTTTTATGTCTATATGGATGAAACTTTGGCCACCACAATATACATATCATGCTTCATACGTGACTTCGTATACGTGTGCAAAATGCAACTTTCCCTAGATCGATCGCGGTAGCCACAAGTCGTATCAAGTTTGTCGCAAACACGGGCGCAGTTATCTGGAGACTTCATATAATCAAGTTACACTCAAAATAAGAAAAGGTAGATAACTAGAGAATGTCATCCAGATCCATTTCGTTCGACGGTGGTGCCAGAGGAAGCGGTCTAAAACGACTGGGATTACGCAAGGTTTTTTTACCTTTTGCAGCCAATTTTAGGGGGAGGGGTCTTTTGTGAAAGCTTCTCCATGAGTTGTTTGGTCACATGTTTACTGGTGGAGGGCACGGGAACCTCTTCGTCGTCTGAGAAGACGGTTACATCGCTCAAGGTTTCTTCTTGGTTCTTTTCGCGGTTAGACATTAGCTCCACAATCTTGGCAGTTTTTGCGTTTAATAATGCAGCAAACTTCGAAAACAGTATGTGTTCTCGTTCAGTGTACTTTAAGACTGCATCCGAGTACTTGTGAATTACAGCTTCTTCGGCAGATTTAAGTTGCTCGTTCGCGGATACTAGTTCCTTGATTGTTGCAACTTGCGCCGTGATACTGTCGGTAAGTCGGTGAAGAAAGTTGTCAGTGGATGTCTTTGTTAATGTAGCGCTATATTCGTCAATCTAACATGCATGCTCCCAACGAATACGCAGGGTACCTCGTCTGTTTTATCCCACCGAATCTGTAAACGCTCGCCTTCGAGTTGTTTTATTTCAACCGACTCAACTTTGTCAAAGGCGGCGATTAGCTTCTCAGCAGATTTGGAAGGAAAGGAAGTGTCTTTCGCAGTCCAGTAGCTTCCAAAGGAATACACATAGAAGAACAGCTCATCATTTGTCACCGCCAAAAAAACAAATTGATCACCAAATCTTCGTGCAGATAGCTGGTTCATGCTTTTCGTCTAAATGGAACCAAAAAGGCAATTAATTTGGAACCTGCGTGCTGGCCCATTAATAAGCAGATTGCGCTACCAGGCACCTAAGTCTTAGTAAAAATATTAGGAGGAAGTCTTTTCGGAAAAGGTTATAGCGGGGGATAAGACATCAGTTGGATAAATGCTAGTCCTTCGACAGATTGTCGCTTTGAAATCAAAAGGTGTTACTAAGCGAATGTTGAGGCATTTTGTTGAGGGTCCTGGATTGCTAAAAGTTATGGCCTCTGAAATTAAACCTAATCACATACATCTATATTGGAGTATACTGCAACCGATAACAGAATGAAATGCCCGCAAAATGACATCTTTATAATAATCTACTGGTATAAAAAAATAGATTACACTAATGTAGTTTATGGTGCTTTACACTTAACGAATTAAGTTGATGAAGTGCTGTACAATAAGGTTCTCCAAGCACTAATGTGACTTATCTACCGTGGAACTTTTCTTTTCAGTTCAAAAGTTCTGTAAACATATATTTGAAGAGCACGTGCCATAGGCATAAGCAATTCTTTGATATACAGATTAAACACTTAGTATTGTTGGTTCTTCGTTTATGTTTTATGACTAAATTTAGCAACCCAATCTGAAATCAAAGACACCATTTCGTACATGTAAACAATTAATCATCTGAAAAGGAACTTAAAATTTTTGACATTGAAAATTCATTAATATGCACACGGTTCTACAGATAGCGCAGTAAGGATAAAAAATACTTTGGCTAGCTACCCAAACGAGAATATGCTAACTGCAATCGTATGCTAAAAACTTTCCACTGAATTTGTGATATAATGCTTCTGACGAAATGTTCGTAATGACCTTGGGACTCTTTACCGAAAAAGCACATTGTAAAAATAATTTGTAAAACAACAAGTTTGGGGTTGAAATATCGTAGTTATTTTTTATAATAGACATGGCTTAACTAAATTTCGCAAATAGGTATTTACTATTTAATTTTGCTTAAAAATTATCTTTGAGGGAGTGTGTTTTAAAATTTACAGAGAGGCATTTATCAGTGCGAGGCAAATTCTAACATTGCAATAACATTACCCTGAACGTCGGGATACCATTGAGATATGTGTCGATTACGTGGGACGGAATATGCTCTCTTTTACCTAAAATCCGTAATTTCGGTGTTTGCTGAGAGTTTTTCTTCAGTAATGTGAAAAGCATTACCTTAGAAAGTCTAGGCTTTCGCCAATATTGCAATTGAGATAGTTAAATCACAAATAAAGGCATATGTATTAATGCATACCTTGGCTATTTTAATTGAGTCACACATCAATATATTTTTCGGACTATTCATAGCAAAACAGCATAAAATGATTGTCAGCGCGCGCCTTACATGTGATGCTATTTGCATTTTGATTCGTGTGCTTTCATGAATATGTACTGGGTAATACTTGTAAACCTGCATCATTCTTGAAATAGTATTGCAAAGTGCCAATTATATCAACTCACACTATTCTGGCAATCATTTTGGTAACTATGATTATCTCTGACCTTTTCTATGTCAGTATCACCGAACACAATTTTTAATTTGCACTCGACTTCAAATCATTAATCCCAACCTTTTATCCTATTTCCACTACTACCACAAATCAGCATTCGAAACCTTCAGCTTTTCGCGTTTAAAGTTTTCCTAGAGAACAGGTTAGGCCAGTTTCTTTGGAACGCCGGTGTCCGCCCATAGCCTTTCTTCTAAGACAGCAGTAGCAAGCAAGGAGCAAACCCTGGACAATTTGCCTAATAATAACTACATATTAACCGTTTATAGTCTTAGCATCCCCACAACATACCTCAATTTCTTGAGTGATCTAGATGCTTCCATTTTGGTTGCTAAGTGACGAGGTCTTTTCGGTCAGCGGACGCCAGCCTGGACTGTCATTTGTCCTCCCGAATCCCTTCGTCGTCGCGCCTTTCTAATCTCCCTGGTTCAACACTAACCTGTCCATACGTCATAGCCCCTTTGCATTTGTATGCAGAATTCTAGAATAGGCCTAGATTTCTCTTATTCCTTTTCTGCTGCTGTCTGCCTTGCGACCAGCCTCGACGGTGTGGCTATCCTTGATCGACAAACTGATAGTAACCTCACTGTGTAGGTCCCTACTTGGTAGGCCCATAACACAAACAAATAATATGAGTTATATGTTGTTTGCTTTGCACGAATAAGCTTCGGTGCTTGCGGTCAAGTTTAAGATCATATTTTTGGTTCAATCTTACAACGTTCATTAAAATTTTAAAAAAATGCCTACTCGAACAATGGAAGACCGTTGACCACAAAGATAATCTTTGTCAATCGCGTCCATGTTACCAAACAAACAGTTCCCTGATCTCAGGAAAAGCCAAAGTCAAAAACTCGTCACATCACAGGTCCTGCTAGGAACTAACCAGGACGAAGTGGTCAGGGGTGACGGAAGTCTACCACAGTCTTGATCAACTTTCGTCCGTTAATGTTTCGTCTTAACGGTTCGTTCTTCAGCAAAATATTTTGGTTGGGTTTGTTTAAACTGTTGTGAATCGTGTTTATTCACACACCTCTCAATCCGGTCGCTCCACATCCTACACATGGTCCCCCCTTTCGCAGCATGTCGCCAGCAGCGCGGATCCTCAACTCCCCCTCATTCACACTATTTATCTTAGATTATCCTCCAAACTAGGTCTCGATGTTAGCGCATATATGACTCACACATCCGAGGTATAAATGCACACGCGCAAACCCCACGCACGGCACAACGACACCAACGTGGTTGAGCTCCGAAGTAAGCGGTTGTGTCCACGTCCTCTCAGATCTTTTCCTTCATCGCGCGTATCAGGGAAACGTAATCGGGCCAGGGTTAACTCAGTGGCCCCGGCGTGGTTCAAGACCACAAACTGGGGCCCACAACAAAACCATTACGTTTAGCAGAGCATCGCATTACTTTCAGTCAAGAAATCCTATTATGGCCAACAACAAATTGTTATCAGGTTGCAGAATGATTTACGTACATGACTCTACGTATTTCTTTACAGGATTCAAGACACTGTGTGCCGCTTTCGTTCAGAGTAATGCCAGCGCCTGTCTTCACCTTCGATTCTTTCAGTCGCCAGTAATTTTATGAGAATATTGTCACCATTGTACAAATTCTAACGCCCAAAAATTTTCAGGTATTACTCGGCATCTCTGCCTTCACTGCACGGTGTTCGACCACATCCGAACCGAATGCTTTGATTGTCAAGCGGCTTTTACCTCATTTGAAACAACGCTCAGCTCTGACTTGTTGATGATGCATTTGAACACAATCTAGAAATCATTATTGCAGCTATTGCTCTTCAGCAGACCACTTGAGTTGGCGGTAGAAAGAGATCTAAGCCTAATCCATCTTAGTCATTGAATATGTCAAGGAACCAACATAGCCTCTTGGCAAGCTCATCATTACATCGCAATCCAATGAAGATGCATCTGGTATCTAGATCAAGCAGATGTCTTATCACGTCTCTGGGGTGGCCAATCGACAACCAATTGCATCTCCTGGCAGACTCAGATCTCATAGAATACGAGGCCATTCACAACGCTCAAAGTTGATGGCCAATACGTATCATCATCGGAGTTGCAGACTGTCGTTTGAAGATTCAACAAGAAGCTCCAATAGTAAATCACCTGTGGCCTTGCCTACTGGCCGCTAACGGGT